CTGAGATGCTGAGGTACTAGGGAGCAGATACAGGGTTTCTGAGACTCTCATGGTGGGACAAGGAGCCTGAGAGAAATCCTTGAAGCTGGGACTAGGGTGATCGGAAAGAGCTGGAGTAGATGTGGAAGTGTCTGGGTTGTGCCCATGGGATGCAGAGATTGCTGTAAGCGTAATGTCAAAGGGAGTAGCAGCAGTGGCTGCTGGAGGCTTCCTTCTTTAGGAATTAACTAGACTTGAAGCAGTGAAAGAAGGACATCAGTGCCTGAAGGACCTCTAAAATCCATTCACTGGATGAGGACCCATGCCAGTATATAGAGCGTGTTTCTGTTTTCAGGCCTTTTGGCAGGTTTGGGAGCACTGGAGACCTAATGTAAGACTTGATTCTCCAGATTACTCGGTTGGCGGCAGGTTTCACTGTCATTTACTGGAGGAGAGTTGAGATCTGTGTGTGAAAGTAAGGATGTACGTATGGAAGTTCTGTGCATGCCCTGAACCTCCTTCTGTCACTGGACCAAAAAGGAGAAAACCTTTTCAGTTTAATGGTTTGGAAATTCTAATGTGTTTTGAAAGGACCTTTTCAAAAATGACTTGAAGGTTCTATTTGCTTTGATAATTTGACAGTGAATTACTTTTAAAAGGAATAGTTTGCTTGCCTAGACGGATAAACAAAGTAGAGTTTAGGTTATTTTTTTAATAATTTGCCATGCTGCAATTTGAACAGGTTTGATGTTAAAGAGTCTGAGCTGTGGCCTTTTTTCTTTTTTTTTTGTGAAAACCTGTTATGGGAAATAGGAGAGGTCAACTGACTGTGTATTTGCATTATGTGGCAAGACTGTTCCCTGCATACTTACACTAACACACCATCGTTGTGAAGATATCTGTAATCCATTTGTAACAATTACCTTACCTGTGAGATGTTAGAACAACTTGTGTGTCAATAACAGTACTCTAACACAAGCGCTTAACGATGAGTATACAGCTTGTTAGTTAGCAATACAGAGAAAATATGCTAAGGTCATGAATTAGTGTGGCCTGTTAAATTCATCCTTAGGATATTTACCAAATCTAGGGAAAACATAATTTTTCATTGTCTTTTCAGCCACGTTTCTCACTTGTTAAATACTTCTGACAGAGAAGTACTCTTACTGTGTTCAGGAATTGCGTTAGTCACTTTGATTTTAATCACTATACTGTCTCTGTGCAATTTTTCTTTCCCAGATGGGAAATCCTTTGGTCCGAGGCACCTACAAAGGTGAATGGTCCTCAGGCTCGGCAGTTCACACCTTGTATCAAACAGATAAACTTTCCCACAAACTTAATCCGCCTGGAAGTGAACAGCTCTCTTCTGGACTATTACACTGAATTGGATGCAGTGGTACTACACGGTGTGAAAGAGAGACCTGTGCTTTCACTTAAGACTTCGATGATTGATATGAATGATATTGATGAAGATGATGATGAAGAAAAGTATGGCTGTGGAATGGACACCCTTAATAAACAGTTCAGCATTGTTACCCTCAGGGAATGGCCGACCAATGGATATTTTGATAAACTGCCTTATGAGGTAAGAAAAGCATGTTTGTACTCAATGTGTGTGTCTTGATCATTAAGGGTGCAAAGGTGCTTTACAGGGTACTGGTCAAGATTGTTGTTTTTTCCAGTTAGAGTTCCTTGCATTCTTTTGTGAATCTCCTGCAGTTATTGTGTAGTTATGCCTGAATTCTGTAAGTCTGTCTGCTTCCATGGGTGCATATTAGCAAGCCACTTTGCTGGTATTTGCATAGTTACTGCACTTTTATTTCTCAAGAATCTGTCCACTCGCAGTTTTTATGGCAGTTATTCTAGCCTTAAATTTCTAGCTCTTGAACTTAGAAACTTCTGGCAGTTTTCTGGTAGTTTTAGTCCTCATACTTGATGAAGAAGATAATACAAAAGATGTGGAAAGATCAAATCAAGATCTGGAAGTGGAACTAGTTTGTAATAGGCTAAACGTTTCTTTTCCTGTTCTCTCTCTTGCAAAACCCCAGAACTTTATTCTTGAAACTACCATAATATTTTCATGTTATTATGAAATAAGCATCTTCCATTCAGCTAAGTTTTGAGTCGTGGCCCAGGTAAAAAGTGTTATAGCTGGACTTCTGTACACTGTCTTGTTTTGATGTTTGCTACTTGTTATTTTATCATTAATGCAGAAAACAGTTGCAAAGAAACTACTCCTTTCAGATCCCCTGGCAGCGAGGCAGTTGCAAGGGTGCTCAGCGTCAGTGTAGATAAGTATTTTCTTTCCTGTAATTTCCACTATAATGAGATTTTGAAGTATGATTGCTGAATATTGTGTGCAGGCCAGGAAATTCTCAGTGGGCTGTGGCCATTTACAAAGGCTAATACCCTAGTTAGAGTAAGAATTGAGAGGTGAAATAATTGTCTTCACCTCTCCTGAAATAAACTGGATTTGCACACAGTGGAAAGGAGTCTTTATGTGCCGGTCAGACCTCTGGACTTAGGCAGAGACATGATCGTTCCTGCTCTTCAGTGTACTGCCGCCTGGCAAAAGCAGCAGGTTTTTATTTACTGCAGTAACTCCTCAAAAGCTGAGTGCTTGTGGTTTGAATGGGGCTCAGAAGTGAAGGGAGAATGGTGAGAGATGCTGTCACTGATTGCAGGGGACTTTCAGAAATACGTGATCTGATCAAATAGTATTTTAGTTTGGTCACATCTTTTGTCTCCAAGTACCCCCGTTTGGCACGTGAAGGCCATGGTTGGGTGATGGTGTGCCCTAGTAACCTGCAGAAGTTTGCTGTGCTTGTAAAGAGGAAAGAGAGAGGAAGAGAATATTAACAACTCTCCCCATCTTTCTCCTGTGTATTTATCTTCTCTTCTGAGTCGTCTTGAGTTTGGTTTTTTTTGTTGCTACAGTGGAATAATAAATGAGGATACTAACTTCATCCTGAGTTAGCTCTAGTGGTGTTTGTTTTTTTCCCCAGAGTCCATATAGTGTTTAATATATTTTTACTGTCAGTGCTTGTATGTCAGTACTGAAGTAAAGAAAGTACTTTGTATATGCAAAGGTGCAGTTGATTCCAGAACATCTTAAAACATATAACTCTTTGAAAGTGTGAAAATGTTTTAGTCAAAGAAATTAATTGTAGAGAAAACTTCATTTAAATCTAGGAAGTCTCGTTTGAAAAGGCTGGATGGATTGATTTGTAGCATAGTGTGCTACCAGAGGGATTGATTAATCTCTTTTCTGTTCCACGTGATTGTACATGCTAAGATTATAATTTAGGAAGTATTTGTGTAGTCCTGTTACACATATGAACTTCTGCCTCCATATACTTTACTGTGCTTTTCTGCACTCCTGTTTGTGTACCAGCTTCCTTTTTTATCCATTTTTTAACATGTTTGGTTTCATGAATGCATTTATGTGGCCTATCAATACCAAGCACTTTTTTTTTTTTTTCTTCTGCTTTGATTTAGTGAAACTGACAATATGGGTGGAATATTTATCAGAAAACTACAAAAGAGTATTTCTGGACTGGTTTTGTGACAGCAGAAGTCCCAGTCTCCTTTCTCGGTCCAGCTGGAAGGTTTGGGTATCAGAACAGCAAAAGTGTTGTACTTTGTAGTATGACTTTTTTTATCGCAGCGGGTATGGGAACAGTGCTCTGCATGCTGTCTTCAACACTGACAAGTGTCAGATTTTTATGGGAAGTGTTCGAACCTTTGTAATGATGAAGTATGGCAACCGCTGACTCCTTCCAGTTTTGACTGATACATTACATGAAAAATAGTGTCTTTTTATACTATTCCTTATTTGGACCATTTCAGGCTTCTTCATACTACTCTCCATAATTCACAAAATATTCAGACTGAATGGGCTTCTGTGCTAATCTTAAAGTAGGCAGCAGTTCTTCCAGCCTTTGTTTTGCCTTCGTTGTCTTTCTGAAACTTCCGTAGGCTATCTTTTCATAGACTGTGGTGTTCCTCCAAATGACATTAGGAATGGCTTGCTGCAGTGTGAACTCTAAAAACATGGTAAGCGTCATAGAACTGTTTAGGTTGGAAAGGACCTTTAAGATCAAGTCCAACCGCTAACCTAGCACTGCCAAGCCCACCACTAAACCATGTCCCTAAGCACCACACCTACATGTCTTTTAAATACCTCTGGGGGGGGTGACTCCACCACTTCTCTTCCAGTGCTTGACAACCCTTTCAGTGAATAAATTCTTCCTAATATCCAATCTAAACCTCCCCTGGTGCCACTTCAGGCCATTTCCTCTTGTCCTGTCACTCCATACTTGGGAGAAGAGACCAACCCCCACCTGGCTACAACCTCCTTTCAGGTCGTTGTAGAGAGCGATCAGGTCTCCCCTCAGCCTCCTCTTCTCCAGACTAAACCCCTCCAGCTCCCTCAGCTGCTCCCCATCAGACTTGTGCTCCAGACCCTTCACCACCTTCACTGCCCTTCTCTGGACTCGCTCCAGCACCTCAAGGTCTTTCTTGTCGTGAGGGGCCCAAAACTGAACACAGGATAACTTGTAACTGTGTACAGTAGACAAGAGTCTAGATTGCTCCTGCCAACAAAAGAGAAAAACACTCAACTCCTGGGGCACAGACTTCCTTAGAAGAAAGTGTGAAATCTTGGATGAACTAGGTGAGAGAATTTTCTTTCCCTGCTCACGGACGGTGTTAACCAGCCCTTAGTAGCTGTGAAGTACTTGTACTATCATCTGTTCTCCAGAATTACCTTAAAATCGAGGAGAGATTTTCTAGGAGATGCTTCATGTCCTTGTGTTTTTTCCCAGTTATCTTTGACTAACTTGTGCTGCTTGTAAAGAGGAAGGAGTAAGGCCCTAGTCT